CCATATCCCAGAGTCTCGCACGTGTGAGTCGTACAGGGAACAAATGAGGATATAAAGATTTTGCAGTGTAACATGCACAGAAGCAAAACCGCTGACTCCCTGCTACCACAGCTCATGCTGGAATTCGGAACCGAAGTAGCAATCATCAGCCAGCAATACAGGATAGTGCAAGATGGAACATGGTTGGAGGACATCACCGCAACAGCGGCAATATGGCTAACGGAAAGCAGTGGCTTCAAAACAACAAGCAGCGGGAGAGGAAATGGTTTTGTCTGGATAAGCAACAAAAACATCACGATAATTAGCTGCTACCTGACACCGAGCGATCCTATCTCAGAATTCCAAGCAAAGCTCGATGCCATTGAAGATGCCGCGCATCACCCAAATCGGCACTTAATCATAGCCGGACATTTCAACGCCAAGGCCATGGAATGGGGCACACCGACAACAAATTCGAGGGGACGCAAAATCCTTGACATGGCAGCTAGATTAGGAATTTTCGTTGCCAACAGAGGATCCCAAACAACTTTCAGAGGGCCGGGATGCAATGACACAACTACCGATATTACGCTGGTATCTGAAGGATTCACAAACCAGCTACGCGAATGGAAAGTGCTAGAAGACTACACAGGTAGCGATCACCAATACATATCCTACCTCATAGGTCAAGACAAAAGTCAAGCAACAACTAAAAGAAGAGGAACAAGTGAATGGAACGTTTCCAAGCTAGACTCAGGAAAACTCCTCGCAAGCATAGACAAAAACCTACCAAATACCACGCAAGTAGCCCAGCTAGGTTTATTGTCAAAGAAACACTGAGCAGCATCACAGAGGCATGTAAGGCAGCCATGCCCAAACTAAAAGGCGGGCATCCAAAGAAAGCAGTTGATTGTCGGACCGACGAAATACCAAATGCCTGCTTAAAAGACGCCGATACACAAGGGCTAGAAGAAGAGGAAGAAACGAAATGGAAGAGCATAAGGAATATAAAGCTGCGAAAACTGACCTGAAAGATGCAATAATAAAGGCAAAGAAAGATAAATGGGAAGAGCTACGTAGCGATATAAACAAAAATCCTTGGGGTCTCGGATACAAGATCGTAATGAGAAAGCTCGGGGCGAAACAGTCCATTCCAGAGTTAAACGCTGCAGCCATGGGGCACATCGTAAATACTCTGTTCCCAACCCATGTCTTGGGAAGAGACCCACCAGATTATATGCAAGAGACCTCATGCCCACCGTTCACTCTGGAGGAAATGAGCATGGCCGCAAGAACTTTAAAGAACAAAAAAGCCCTCGGCCCTGACGGGATACCAGTGGAAGTGATAAAGCTAATCGTGTTCGTAATCGCTAATATTGTTATCCATGTATAATGCATGTTTGAACGAGGGCATCTTCCCAGAAGTATGGAAGAGACAACATCTGACCCTGATAAGTAAAGGAAAAGGAAACCCAGAAACGCCATCAGGATACAGACCTCTGTGCATGCTAGATACAGCAGGAAAGTTACTACAAAGGCTGTTGAAACCCCGCATAATAGGCGCCATAAACAACGCTGAAGGCTTATCAGAGCGACAACATGGCTTCAGACCAGGCAGGTCCACAATCGGAGTCGTTGAACACGTCGTGCGCAGCGTGGACGAAGCCAATCGAAAGAACCACTCCTCGAGGCCAATATTCCTCCTCGCAACAATAGACATAAGAAATGCATTCAAAGCGCAAACTGCATAAATATGATAGATGCACTAGAAAGCCGATTCAAAACGCCCCCCTACCTGATGAATATGATATGAAGCTATCTATGACACAAGGGACGGCCCTCAAAAAAAAGAAATCACTTCCGGAGCAGCGCAGGGATCCATACTTGGACCAGACCTATGGAACGTCAGCTACGACGGAATTTTAAACGTCGAAATGCCAGACGACTGCTACCTCGTTGGGTACGCGGACGACATCGCTGCCATCATAACAGCTCGTAATACCGACATAGCCAGACGCAGACTTACACAAGTCATGCTGCGAGCACAGACATGGTTGGACTCACACGGCCTTAGCCTAGCCGCAGAAAAAACCGAGCTGATCCTGCTCACTAGGAAACATATCCCGTTGGAGGTGAACATGAAAGTTCATTCAGAAACCATACAAACGACGAAAACCCTAAAATACCTAGGTATAAGAATGGACAACAAACTGACGTACTGGGCTCAAATTCAGCACGCTGCTAAAAAGTCAGCCAATATAACCATGTCGCTTTAAAAACTTATGGCAAACATCGGAGGTCCGCTTCTAAGCAGAAGGAAACTGCTCATGGAGACAACACAGTCAGTGCTATTATATGGTAGTGAACTGTGGGCCTATACATTAAATGTGAAACATAGACGGAAAGTAGTTGCTAAAGTGCAGAGAACAGCAGCCCTGAGAGTCGCCTCGGCTTACCGCACTGTATCCGAATCCGCAGTGCTAGTGATAAGCTGCGTAATCCCAATAGATCTACTCGCAAAGGAGAGAAGACAACTCTGGTTATGGAAGAAAAATGGAACGGAAATACACATGCAAACAAGACAACAAGCAAGGAAGCAAACACTCGAATTTTGGCAATATCGGTGGACAAGGGAGCGCAAAGGGAGATGGATCGCCAAATTGATCAAAGATATAGAGACATGGCACAGTAGAAAACACGGCGAGGTGAACTACTACCTAACACAGATGCTCTCCGGCCACGGATAATTTCGAAAATACCTGTATAACATGGGTAAAGCCGAGAGCCCTGCATGTATTTACGGAGACGAACCACTCGATGATGCAAACCATACCTTCTTTAAAAAATTTTATTTCCAAAGCCATAGCTGTCTGTGTTGACCCAGTTCCAAAATAAAGGTTATTGCGGTGACAATCATAAGTTCTTGGAAATTCATCTAAAACCAATTGGATAAAAAAATTAGTTTTATAAATAGATAATCCTGGGCCTGATTGGAACTTTTTTTCCAAAAATTAACAAAATGGCGGCCTCAGGAAATTTTTCCTAGATTAAAATCGAAATCCTTCGATCAGGCCCGAGCTTGTTATGTATTCTTAAAGCTGTATAAATTTTATTAAAATCTGCTGAGCGGTTTTCGAGTTACAGTTGCCACCAGTTCAAAACGCATAGTTTTGAGAAAAACGCATTTAAAGTTTCTTGCAGCTGCCGCTAGCTACCCGCTCCCGAACGCTTTGAAATGCCCGAGCGCTCTTTGTTATCTGTCGAATAACTCAAAAAGTAATTATCGGATCAACTAGAAATTTTCAGAGAATATTTTCAAGATATTACACTTAACGAAAATGCAAAAAAAATGGAGTTTTTGCAAATTCTGACTACCCCTAACCCCAAAATCCGCGATACTTTTTGAACAAGCCTCGTACTCTTAAAAGTAAGTAATAGAACAAATAAAATTAAAATATATGCTCCGCTTACAGGAGAATATAAGTGGCACACAAAACTTAACATTTGTAGAATGTATGTGACTGCGGGGCATCGAAGCAAGGGTGTTATTCAGCAATCGTGTTATCTCACTAGTTAGATTGTAAGCATAATTTGTTCTTAAATACACACAGACAAACTTATTAGAATAATAACACATACTATGTTTACTTAATAAAACATACGAAACTTCAACCTCCTTACTATCTAGGTATTTGATTTGAGCTTTTGACAGAGTCTGAGAAAAAGCTCAAGCTCTCCAATTGAATAATTTAAATATACCCCCCAAAAGAAAACCTGTATACTTCGGTTGCACCGAAGCTATAATACCGTTCACATATAAAAAAAGTTTCCATACAAGAACTTGAGTTTGATCGACCAATTTGTATGACAGCTACACAATATACAAGTAGTGGTCGGATCTGAACAATTTGTTCGAAGAATGTACTATTGCTTTAGATAATAATCCGTGCTAAATGAAGATAATTAATTTTGGCTGTTTGAACAAATGAGCAGATTCTTGGTGAGAAAAGAACATGTACAAGATTTCAGAACGACATCTCAAACAAGAAGGGACTAGTTCCCGTATATACAGACAAACGGACATGACTAAAACGACTCAGCTCATCATGCTGAACATTTACATATATTATATGTATATGGTAATTTATAGCGTCTCTGACAATATTTCCTTCTGGGTGTTACAAGCTTCGTGTCAAACTTAATATACCCTCTTCAAGGTATAAAAATACTTTAGTATTATTTCGGGCACAGCTATAGTAATAAAAAGATCTCATAAAAAAGTTGACCTACAATTAGGCGCATTCTCAAATAGTAATATAGCTATTTTTAAATTAAGCGCCTGTGAGATTAGGTTAATTTTTCGAGAAGGTGTCATATTTTCAAATACTCTCTGCACGAGAGAAACAGACTTATATGTACAGTTATTTATGTTCACATAAATAAAATTCTAGCTTCCTCTCGGTTTTAAAATATACATATCGTCTAAGAATTTGCTGAGAACACTCTGAAAAGTCTAAAAGAAATCTTGAAGGCATATTTTTGTGTATTCCGTATAAAAACCCGGAATGGCAATTCTCATAACATTACTGGAATTTTATAGAAGTAATCTACACCTCAAATTTTGTCATAAATTACTGGGAAGATCGATCGGTTAGAAATATTTCGATTTATTTCCTATTTTTTTATTATATAAAAATATAATATATACAAATATTTTTTCATTTGGATGAAAGTTTGCTGAATGAGGTCGGAAACTTTTAATCAGTTTTCTCTTTCGATGCTGCTAAGGTTAAAACTCATGTACGCTCCACGTTTGTACAATTTCAATATATCTGTAAAGAAACTAGTCGGTACATTCTATATACATTGCCAGCATTTCGACTCTTAAGTATGCTATCTCTTTTTAAACACTGTTTTTAAAACACCGGTTTGACTTTAAACTTGTGAGAGAGCCACAGCTGATAAACGCTTGAAAGCTTCTGTACACAAAGAACAGATTATGTTGTATCGCCAAAGCTTCTGACACTCAGTACGGCGCTGATAAGCGGCACACAGCTGAGATCATGACTTAAACGTAAATAATTCGCTTTTGAGTTTTCTAAAACGCTGACTTTACAGAGAATTACTTACGAATGCGCTGGGCACAACGGACAAAGTGGTTGTTTAAAAATAAAACTGAGCTGATTATTCATAAAATATTGAACGGTGAAGAGTATTGCAGGTAGAGATACTTATAAAATAAATTTAGACTCGAACAATTAATCTAGCAAAGCGATTTATCTAAAGCTGAACCAACAACTGAGGTGATATTCCCAAAAGTGGACTACAGAAATGTCATCAAACAGTCTGATCATATATTTTGTACTTCTGCTAGCGCTGTGCAGCGGCTGGTCCACATCCAAAGCATCTACGCTGAACCTGACCGAAAGCTGTAACGTCAACCAAATGTACTTTTGCACTTTGACCAACCTGAGCAGCACGCTACGCGATCCATTGCTCATAGCCAACGCCACTGCACCGCAGCTCAGCGAGCTGGTACTGCGCGACTCGATACTTCCACGGATACCCCGCTCATTACTCGCACAAGCGCCCGCGCTGCGTGCCTTCTTCTTGCACAACTGTGAACTCCAGCGACTTACCGTCTTTGACTTTCCCACCGGGCATCCACTACATACTTTAGTACTGCAAGCGAATTGCATTTCTGATGTGCCCGAAAAGGTGTTCGTGCCGCTACACGAGCTGCAAGAGCTACAGCTCGGACGCAATATGATACATATGGTGCATAAGAATGCCTTCGCCGGTTTGGAGCGTCTACATTATTTGGACTTGCAGCAAAACGATATACGCGAGCTGCCCGCTACGTTGTTTGACGAGCTCGTCAGCTTGGAGCATATCGATCTGAGCTCGAACAGTATCCAGCGGATCGATGTCAACACTTTTGTTCGCAACACAAAACTGCAAACTTTGCTACTGGGCGACAACAGTTTCGCCACTTTTGAGTCGAATGCCTTAGAGCATTTGTCGCATCTGCATCTGCTCGACATCAGCAGCAGTAATGTCAAGGTGCTGAGCTTAGAGTCGGTCGATACGCTCTTGGCGCAGGGTGGTGCGCTGGAGAACATCGTTATATCGGGAAGTGCCGTCAAAGTGCATGCAGCCAACAATTTACTGAACAAGCTGGAAATCGGCGATAAACTCAGTGTGCGCGAACTGGATCTACACGGTAATCGGCTGGAGTCACTAGACTGTATGGTGGGCATGTTGAATCTGCAACGTCTGGATGTGGCACGAAATCAGTTGAAGACACTACGCACTTTTGAGTCCCCACAGTACCTTCCACTACCGAATTTAGTGCATTTGAGCTTGTCAACCAATCAACTGCAGAACATAACGCTGGAAACATTTCTGCTGCTTCAAAAGCTAACACAACTCGATCTGTCTTTCAATAATTTGTTAAACCTGGATCAGCGTCTCTTTGCGCCACTGATCAATCTGGAGAAGTTCTATATTGAAGGCAATCGCCTGCACAGCTTCGATTATGAAAAATTCGTTGAGTCGCATGAGTACGTGAAAGAGTTCGGCATGTTCGAGAATGAGTGGGAATACCGTTATATGCGCACGATGGTTGCCTACTTGAAAGAGCACAACATTCAGCTGCCAGGGCGCTTTACTTCGAACAGTAATGGCAACAGTGTGGGAAATCGCATTGACACGACATTGAACTCACTATCGACGTCCGATAAGGCGGCTCATCATCGGTATGCGTCCACTGCTAGTTCCGTAAATAATTTCGACACGCTCGATACTGGTATGTTGGCAGCATCGTCAGCAGCGACTGCAATGACTGATATCAGTGGTATTCACCCCTACTTCACCACTCGCGATGTGCTCACTTTGGTCATATTGTTGTTGGTGTTTTTGATTTTACTGCTACAACTGTTCAGCATTCTGCGTGAAGAGGAGTATCTGCCCAATTGTTGCAATAGACTCGCGCGAAATGCGCGCACACATAATCGTCGACGCCTGGAGGAGGAAGAAGAGGACTCAGAGGTGTAGGCCTAATTTCGAAGGTTCTACGTAGTCATAAGAGTTATACACAAGTGTTAAAATGCAGTGATAACGCATCATAATTGATTTCTAGAAAATTTTAGGTATAGATTTGAAGAATAAAATAGATGCATTTGTATAAAAGTCGCAGAAGAACCGAATTGTTCTGAATTTTTTCAGTTATCCGTCTGTAAGAAAATCTAGAGAACTTTTGTTTAAGCATCCGTTCTCGAATAACCATTGGATGATTATTGCTCTTGAGGAAAGTTAGTTATATTCTGCTTATACAGTTCTATCAAAAACGAATTCTGGAAATTGACTCATGAAATCATGAAAGAAGCGAAGAAAATAGTGTTCTACAATCGTCAAATCCGCATTAAAGAAGTTTTTTAGTGTTTTAATAGTTTTAGTAATTGTTCAAAGGAGTCTGAATATTCGACAACAAAAAAATCAAAGATACCAACTCATCATTATTTATAAATTTTGGGTCTCAACAGCACAATTAGACCTTAGATATCATATTCCCTGAATGTGGTGCCCAGATCTTGTTTACGTCTATGTCTAGAGATAAGGCAAATAAATGAAAATTTTATTTAAAGCCGCTTTGTGGGAGAACTCGAACCATACAAAAGTATTTATCAGAAGATTGAAGTCGAAAGAAGCATTGGCTTGGCAAATACGAAAGCGCTTCGATAGTATTCAACCTACATAAGTAAGACAACAATTTTTGATAACTCTATACAGTCTCCTACAGTCTTAAACCTTCTGAAAAATACGATAACCTCATTAGTGTCAAATTTCTGCCCGGCGAATGACCTTTTTGAGCTTATAAAGAAAAAGCTGTTTCACGGGACAAATCTGAAGAATACAATGGATGCAAACGCAGTTCGTGAAGGATATGCTCAAGCGGGCCCTTTTTTGATAGTAGGAGCTTACGAAAAATCACTCCCTTCCAATAGTAGCGCTATCAGCCGATGAGGCTTATTACTTATTAGATTTCATAGCCTTTCGTGAGGTTGTGACTTATGTTCGTACACCGAAAAGATTTTTCAGTTTCGAAAACAGAAAACACAGGCTGAGCGATGACTCTCCTGTTTCTTTTATCCAAAATGTTAGTGACAATTACGCTAAAATGTGACGACACATTCCTGTGACAAAAAGTCCACGTTTTCTGCCCACAAATCTGGTCATTTATTGACTCTTTGATGCTGTGAAACGCATTCATACGGAACTTTGACGTGGTTTTTTCGATTTCGGCTCATTTTGTAGTGTCATACGGTAGATTGTTGGACAGTTTTTCATATTCATAAACCCACGCCTCGTCTCTAATAATGATACATTTAATGAATGTAGGGTTCTCAGGTATGTTTTTAATCATCACCCCTACTTGACATCGGTTTTGCAAAAGATTCAGTCTTATGGTACGAATCTAGCATTGACATACTTCATACCCAAAACATTAACCAAAACGTGTTGAAAAGATTCATTAGAGATGTTGAGATCACGACGGTTCCTAAGCACTGTTCAATGAATACTTTATGCCACTCAAATGTCTTCGTGATAAAGTAGACTCTTCAAAACAGTTCTGCGACATTTGCAATGATTCCGTAGGCGTAATTATATTGGAAGCACAAAATGTCAAGGAAACTCATTGTTACATTTTGTTTCCATTGTAAAAATAGCCGGACAAACCTTTCACGTCATAAACAAACAATTGTGAAGCACACAGTAATGGAGATCAAAGTGCACACAAACCTAAAAATACCTAGGGGAAAATATTTATCCATTCGGTTGCGCGCGTAGCTTAAATATACCAGTTTTTACTCTGATTTGCAAGAAATCGTTTTTACTCTGATTAAAACGCTCCAAATTAAAACGCTCCAAATTATGCTGAGAAATTTGTTTTCGGTTCCAAACAGCTTTTTTATATGTAATTCTCCATATAAAATATGAAATAGTCGTTCTTCTGAGATGCCTACACTAACAATATTATGAACATGCTCAATGATTTCTGCTGTGGTTGCGGTTTTTGGTCGCCATTTGCGTGGATCGTCTTCAAGCCTAGTACGGCCATGTTTAAATTCAGCAGCCCAAAATTCAACGGAGCGTTTAGAAAGTGAGGACTCCCTATAAACTTTTAACAATTCTACATAAATTTCCTTTGATTTTAAACCATTCGAAACAAAAAATATAACCGTGATATTAAATGTTTTCCATATAAAAAAATACTCTGACATGTCAACTTCAAATGGCTTGTAAAGCAAGAATTAATTGACAGAACAACTTGTAACTTTACATGTTTTCTCACGACAGATGTTCCAACGTGAGAAAAAAAATTTGCCGCTAGCAGAGCTATTTCTTGGTGAGACCAACCAACTTCTCAACCCTACCTGTATTGTAGTCGGTCAAAACATATATTACCTTCCACATAATGTCTTTATATCATATAATTACTTGTATATAAGATTTTTACTTAATCTTTGCCTGACACAAACAACTCTACGCTCAAGGAGATAGTTTAAATTAATTTTTCATGTTTCTTCAATTGATTAGACGGATAAATTGACTGCCTATCCCTAACTATTTAAATCATCCAAGGTGTTCTCTATATTATTCTGTATTGGAATATTTATTACGAGTATAAAACTTTAGATCGTTAGCGGTGGTAGGTATTTTAAACTGAGTATTCCTATTAAGTAATGAGAAATTACTCAAATATTTTTACTATCATTCCCCATTTATTATATTTTCTGACAAACTGACAAATGTTAGCGAGACATTGTTGTTCTAGATTCCCTCATGTATTCACTACTGAAAAAGTCATGTTGATTACGAGTGACGTGGTAAGAAATTTGTAAATCGTGAACTTAAATGGGATATGCATATCAGAGATAATATATATATTTTGGTGTTAACTTTACAAAAGCAAGTTCTATATACTTGAGGATATGATAAAATGTCTTGAAGATTTTCATGATTTTGTTTGAGGACTTCTTCGCTCGAAATTCGTAGTATTTCTGTTGATCTTGATAAAATTTCTGATAAAAATGGGGTGCGTAGGAAACTCATGTTTAAGCTTCACACTTCATTATAAGCCATTCAATTAAGTTTGTAATTTTACTAATCGGATTCTACATAAGGTCATAATTCATTATTTTCCCCATAAATGGCTTTAGTAATCTATATCTCGCGCTGTATAAGTTTGGTCGGATACGTAAAATTGCTGGACTCAGTATTGTTTAAGCCCACGTCAAATGTGGAAACCAGCAAAGAGAAAATGCGCCATATTTTACAGTTTTTCTTCTATAAAGGCGACAATTTCGGTTTTCGTCGATCCCTTTTAAATCAAGATCAGTGCATGGGTTAGCGCAGAAAACCTCAAGACCGAGTTTCCATCTGTGAATCGCAACAAAATCGATTAATTTTTGAAGCGGATGATTACTGGTGATGAAAAGTAGGTCACTTACGATAACGTTAATCGAAAAGGGTCGTGATCGAATTGAACTGAGCGCGCGCAAATGATGGTCAAGCCAGGATTGACGGTCAGGAAATTGTTTCTATGTGTTCGATGGGATTGGCAGGGAATCGTCTTCTATGAGCTGTTTTCCTGCGTCCAAACTCCTAATTCGAATATGTACTGTCAAAAATTGGACCGTCTGAAAGAAACAATCGCCCAGAAGTGGTCAGCATTAAGGTACTATTATATTACTATATCCAATTGGCGAACTCATATTCAAAGCGGTGTGTTTAAGCTCGAATGTCTGATGTAACAAATATATTTTGGAACACATGTGTGCATGTAGACAAACGTATATGTATATATTTATGTATATAATTATATATTTATACATATATATGTATGTACATATGAATGTTGCACTAGCGTGCGGCCAGTTAGTTCATGCCACTAACTACTTTGCATGTCACATGGTGGTGGTGGTGTAGTTGCTCCCATAACAAAAACAAACAGCAACAACAATAACATCAACGAAAACATGCAGCATGCAAACAAGCAACATTGTGCTTTGTGGCAGATACATTTGGCCGATTTGCAAAGTACGAATTTCAGTTCAAAATAATTGCACAGGATACACGCTATCTGCAGCGCATGCTCACCTGCAATGACTTACATAAATGTATATATAAATGTACATGCATATATATGTGTGTGGTAAGATTTATATATTTAGTGGCTGCAAATGCAATGCGTTCGAAGTCAACTAGTCGCTTATATTACTGCTAATGCTTTTACTGTTTGTTGTTGTTGGCATTGCCGATTGCTCTGTCTATGTATGATGTATATATATATGTATACATATGTCTTTCTATGCGCAGCTCGGTAGTCCCCACAGCAATGTGTCTACGCATTTGCCACATATTCGGTTGACAGTGGGCGCTAGGCGACGCTCCGAGACGCTTGCTGAACGACAACGACCACGACGAGATGCTGGGATATGAAATCACAATTTCTGAGAAATTGTATTTTGATTTATTTATAATGTTGCAACAACATGCATGCAAGCAGTTTATGTCACTTGCTACATGCAGCAAGCAGCAGGTACATTTGCCATTGCAGTGCAAACACGAGCACAGATATGCACAAATATAGTACATACATATATGTATGTATGTATTAAGAAGCTTTGCCACAAGTCTGGTAGGCAGCAGCGCGGAGCGAGCAATTGGTTCCTTGACTACTGCAAATTGAATTGGAAATTTTGGAAATCAAAATTTTGATTAAATGAGAAATGAGAAATATGCAAATGTGTAGCTTGTGGAAATTAATTATGCATCGCTATATATGCGTACGATGTATGTGAGTGTGTGTTGCACAAACCATTGCGTGACATAACACGAGCAGCTTGCCATCTGATAAGCGAACGCGGAAACGTAAATACACAAAGCAGACACATGCACTTGTCAACTAACACAATTGGACACATACCCAACACACATATATATAAGCATACTCCCAAGCACATACACATATGCAATCATATATGCGGCATTATCTGACCCCTGTGGGCGTTGGTGAGCGCTTTGCTGTCTGCCTTAGCGATGCAATTTATTTGATAAATTTGCTGAAATAATATATTAAACCCAAAATGGAATTTTTCACAATGCAAACATATGCTGTAATACTTCGCTTCCCAATTTCACA